TAACAGGTCTATCTACCATAACATGTTCAAAACTAAGCTCGCCATCTTACCCTCTCAAACCTGCTCCTCTGAGTCTTCCCCATCTTAGTAAATGGCCACTTCATTCTTGGAATTCTTCAAGCCAAAAACATTGGAGTCATTCTTGACTCCCACATTCCATCCATCAGCATACTATTGGCTTTACTATCAAAATATATTATTTGACCACTTATTTACATTGCCCTCAGCCTTATTCAAACTACACTATTTCTCGTCTAGATCACTGTATTAACCTCCTATCTAAGACTACCCACTTCCATCCTTGCTTTGTTCAGAACCCTAATTGCTTCCCATCTCACTCAACAAAAGTTGAAGTCTTTAGAAAGGCCTACAAATGCCCTATATGATTACCAACAATCAGGTGCTATCATTACTCCCAATCTCTCTAACTTCACTTTCTAATCCTGGCTAATACTCTCTTCTTGCTCACTAGTCACAACAATCTCCTTACTCTTTCTTTTTATTCATTTATTTTTTGAGGAATATTAGCCCTCAGCTAACATCTGCTGCCAATCCTCCTTTTGCTGAGGAAGACTGGCCCTGAGCTAACATCCGTGCCCATCTTCCTCTACTTTATATGTGGGATGCCTACCACAGCACGGCTTGCCAAGTGGTGCCATGTCCGCACTGGGATCTGAACCGGTGAACCCCGGGCCACCAAAGCGCAACATGTGCACTTAACCACTGTGCCTCCGGGCCAGCCTCCTTGCTCTTTCTTGAAAACACCAAGCACTCTACTGGCTCAGCCCCTCAGCATGTAATATTCCTTCTGCCTGTAATGCTGTTCTCCCATATATCCATATGGCTCAATCATCCACTTCTTCAGATCTCTGCACAAAGTCACTTTATCAGTGTATACTCTATTTAAAATAGCAATCCTATACTCACACACTCCCCAGACCCCTTGACTTACTTTCCCCTAAGAACTTTGTCACCATATGATAAACAATACATTTTCCTTACCAATTAAAATGAAAATCTCATAAGGATTAGAAACAATTGTCTGTTCTCTGTCCTATATAACTATATAGGACATATAGGACTATATAGTATATATGCTATACACTCAGGCCTAGAACACTTCCTGGCATATAGTAGATGCTTGGGATTTATCGAAATATTTAGTCCAAGAGGAATACGAACGTCTGATTATAAAAACAAATGGTAGAATAAAACAGGAGATCTCAGCTATTTGTTTATGCAGGATGGAAAAAATTGGTTGACAAAAAAACCTGTTTTCACTATTTTTTTTTCCAATCATTAGGGTGTATTCATTTAACATTTATTAAGTGCTGTGGATAGGGGCTCAGTTTGAACATAACAATACTGGCAGGTATTATTAGCACTACTTTACAGAAGATGAAACTGAAGATGACAGAGGTCAAGTGACTTGTCTAAAAGTGACATAACAAGGATGTGACAGAGGAAACCAACTCAGGTTTCTGATATTACTTCTATAAATTCTTTCTCAATATTCAAAATAGTTTCAAGAATGATATAAATCCCAAACAGGTACATTTTTTACATTTGTAGCTAAAATTAACTGTATGAACTTGCTGTAAGACATTTGATTTGCATGACAGGATAACATACATAAAGTACACGAGGTAAACTAACTTCACCTAATTCAATACACACAAAAATTTTGCTAAGTTAATATTAAGCCTCAAATGCCAAGCTGTTCAAATAAAGTATTAGTGTTTCGTCTTTCATGGTTCAAATGCAATTGGTAGCTATCATATGAAAGCATATTTTATCTTGACCTTCAAAATATGTGAAGGGCTTTTATCCACAATCTATTTTCTAAATGGAAAAATAAACTATAGATTATACTCAATTTACACACACACACACCCCCCACTGAATTTTGTGTAAATCCGTCTTTAGATATATCCATTTTGCTTTTTATTAGTTTAAAAAAATAATTATAAGTATGGTATTTGAATATTTCATAATACCCACAATTTTAACTTAAAACAATCCATGAAATGTGTGGAACAATTTTTATTAATACTTTAAAGCTGATAAAGCCAAAATGCAGAAGGATAAAACTTCTTCAAAATGATATAATTTAGGGGAAAACTAAGAAGTTTTCAACAAAATTATTTTACTATAACTCTTCCATTTATGGACCATAGATCCATAAAATAAATACAACAAAGCTCCAATAAAATTGGCATTGTAAGACAAGATTCCATATTCACGTTAAAGTCTAACCTTATTACTGAATATATTTAAAAAAAAATATTTAACACATGGTAAAACAGAACCCATGCAAAAATAAGCCATATTATAAGAGTTCTAATAAATTACAAAATAAGAAGAAAATGATCAAATCAATAACAACTGGTCTAGGAAAGGAGCAAAGGAAGCACACTATCAGTAGAAAACACAAAAGATTGTAAGGTGGACATAGCAAATTTATCATGTTTTATTAAGACTGATGTTTGGGAAAAGGTAAATAAACTGTACTTCAAAAGATCGAAAGATTTGCTCCAGCGAAGTAAAATTTCACTAGGAAAATCTCTACAATGAAATAATGAATTAGTGATAATTCACCTTCATCTTTCCACAATCTATAATCCATATAAATTTTTCATAAAAGACTGTTTTTTGGAGGCTTCCACAGTACTACACATAGGTAACTAGGTCCGTTAACAAAAAAGACCAAGTCTTAAGCAACCTGTTTGGTTGTTACCAAACACTTATGAAAGTAATAGAACTCTATTCAGTAACAAAATCACATGATCCAGAATATTGAATAATCTAGACTAGCCTTTCCTATTGAGGAAATCAATGAGATTTTGCTCTTATTTCTTTTTACCTGAAGAGAAAATGATCCCTTCTTTAAAACGTTTCCTTGTAATGATTTCCAGTATCATTCAAGAAGTAATACTTACTTAGGAAAGAAGAATTCCTCTTTAAGAATAAGAATTCTTCCTTAGGAATAAGATTAAGAGACTATTTTGCCTTTTTTCTTACTTTAATAAAGAAATGCATTTAAATTATGTATTAAAATATCCCCAACTTATTTGATACTTTAGACATTTGCTAAGCACATGAGAGAGGTGCTACAAAACTTTAGGCTACAGGAGCCTTGAAAGCTGGGACAAAACTTTATCAGACTATGAATTATCATCACAACAGTTTTAAGTACACTTCTTCAAAAACGCAGTAAAACAAATTAAGTTAGCATTTCTATCATTTGCTTCTCAGGCTGAGCACATAATTTATTTCAATAAATCCTTTCATAATTTCACATTAACAATTAGGCAGAAAGAACATGTTTTGTTGAAGGAATACTTAGTTCAAAGTGAAATGTTTCATTGCTAATACACCTCATGTTCTGAATCTACGCTACTCTACATAACTTGTATGCCTTAAAAACTCTAGTTATCTTAAAATTCTACTTTCTTCCTTCACTCCCCGCACAAAGTGATGGCATTCAATATTGTTAAAGAGAAATTTTTGGTTTACTAGATGAAAAGGCATTTGTATTTAAGAGAGATACTCCTCAGAGTCAATCTAACATCTCCATGGAAGGCCCTCAAATTCCAGTTTAAGAAACACTAATCCATAGTATGTCAGAGTAAAACCCAAATCCACAAAACCTACAGATTATACATAAAAATACTCTTACTCTTCAAAAATGTATTATGTCAAGAATTTTAACAGCAGCATTTAAAAACAGGAAATCATTAGACAATAAAAGACAACCATGCTAATGCAGAGTCAGATCAGTACATGACAAGACACCATTTTTTTATTTACCATTCATGTAAGACTATGTTACCTGAATTCCTGGCAATTTCCTAAAGATACCATGCTTGTTAAAAATTATTGGCTCCAAGGAGTAGGAGGACAGTCTGTCCACCCTCTAACAGTTGAGATTCAACACCTGGCTCTACTTTCTTACAGTGGTATTACATTTGTATGCTATTCTATAAGAAGCAAACCATTTCCAATTATAAAGCACCATTGAGTATTCCATCCCATACAAAGGAAATAATTCTAAAAATTTTACAACAGGATTCCTGGGAAGGCACTTAAAGCTAACTAGTCAAAAGAGGAGCCACGACAGTTAGGGGACTTCTTTTTTACACTGCAGGCTCCACAACACTCTCCTCCTTGCTTATACCATTTAACCTCTTGATCTTAAGTTTCTCAATAAATTAAATGCTCTTCAAATATAAATCAAGAAAGGAAAGACAAGAAGCAAGAAGTCCACATCCTGACTGATGAATGAGGCAGAGTAAGTCTGCTTCCAAAGTAAGTGAATGTTATGACTCTAAGGAGGTAAGAAAACTAAAAGGAGTAAGAGAGTAAAGCGAGCATGGCTTGGGTAGGATTGGGCTGTTGACTTTAAGAAAAAAAGTAAGTTTCATTTTAATTTTCAGATTCAAAGTCATAAAAGTATCTTTGGATAAATATGCAAAGTAAATAGTTTCGTCTATTTTATCTTTCTAAAGGTCATCTATAAGTTTCGAGTGTTCCTTATTTTATTCAAATAGTGGACATGACAAAGATATTACCATTAGGTCAGGCTATAAACTGACAACCTATTAGATTTCACTTGAATTATATGTTATGGAAATAGACAAAAAAAGGGCAATACTCTTCAAGTTCAGAAGCTGTGCCTTAGAAAGAAGAGTCAATTAAAGATTCAATATCTAAAATGGAAATGCTTTACTTATAATAAATTTGATATTAAAACATCACTCATGATGTTAAGTCATAATTGTTGGTATGATTAGTTCTATTAATTCAGTAATTCTAATACTTAAGAGAAGCATTCCAGGAAAATTATCCTCATCGATAAGATATTTAGAAAAAAATTTTTTTCCACTATTATATCAGTGTTTTATAAAGTTGCACAAAGTGATTTCATCAAGAAGGCAAGTAAAACAGCAATCTTCTACCAGCTCATTAACCAAAAAGCAAACAAACCATAAATCTTCAAAATGCTATTCTCCCTTAAGTAATCAGTACCGAAAATCACTCATCAAATAAATTCATCAACAAAAATCAACCTTTACCTTAAATCCCAATAGAAACATCTTTATTATGGAAAAATAATCTATTTACTTCTCTTCACTCATACAATGAAACTAGGCGTGTTATTGAGGTTGTGACTGGACTGTGAATGTCAACAAAGTTTTCATATCACTGGGATATTGGATGGTTTGAAAAGGAATGTACAAACAGCCCTGCTGCTAGTCCAAAAGATGCCTTTTATGTGAATTAGAAAAAGCTGTCCTTTTCTCAAGCGACTTTATTGCCAACAGTCAGAAAATGTGATAATTAGCAAAACTGTGATTGTACCAATGTAAATGACACTCTTGAGTTCTGCATAATTATACCCAGAGTTCTCTCATGATTCCGTATTCTATTATCTTCTTTTCTTATATATCTTAACTAAATCCACATCAGAGCTAAGGTTCCTTTAAGACACAAACAAAGGGCCCTCAACAAAACTTCCCATATCACAAAATGACTGTTAAAGAAGATCATATATATACCAATAATAATGACAATAATGATGATGATACAACTTCAATATTGGTCTTAATTCTCTCGTAAGGCTTTCTGATTTTGAGACCACTAACAAATGAACCTTGCCCTTTCAAATATAAATGGACGTTTTTAACTCACAGAATACAGAAAACTTAAAATTCACATTAAGAATGTACACGCATTGCTGACTGACATAAGTATTTAGTGGTCAGAAAACAAAATAACTGGACATAATCTTTCCAATTCTAAACTTTCCAGGTAAAGTATGTGCATAAGATCTCAGCAGCTTTCACAGAAAACCAGAGCTGAAAGTTGAAGCACTTTCAATATCCAGAAATGTATTTTATTAGCTGCATCAGAATATCATTATTCCAGAAGTCATGGCCGATAAATATTCTTCCTAATTGTGCAGAGATGAATATAATGAACTACACCATCAGCAGACTATATCGCCAAATATTAAGATTGTTTTAAAATCTTTAAAATTCCATAAATTCCTGGTGAGACAGAACCTCTAAAATTCAAGAATTAAAATTTACAAAAATAAATACCACTCTGACACTCAAGGGACATCTTCACTTTAAGGCCTTTGTCACAAATCCGAATCTTTATTGTTGTGAAATAAACGTTATAAACATAACTCAAAACAAAATATTCAACATTCAGTCTCAGAGAGGTGTGGCTCAATGCCTATCACATGTAACAAGAGAACTTCCTTTAAAAAAAAGGAAAAAAAAGTACTCTAAGAAGTCTTTCATATGAATGAAAATGCACCCTTTGGATTTTGTTTTCCTCATCTCATTAGCTTCTATACACGTGAGAATCAAAAGGTCTGCATTTTCTTCACAATAGTTCTTGCTATGATGTTTGACGGACTTTTTGCCACTCAACAAATTCATCAAGAAGAACAGGCCCTAGAAATAAAGAGACAATTTTTGTTAGGATTCAGTGAACTTATCTCTCCAACTATAAAATAAACACCCCTCCAGCTCTGTGATGACCACAGGGGACGGACTCTCCCCTTCCTCGGGTGCTCCGCTTCCAGCCTCCCTCTTCTACTCAACGTGCTCTCTTAGCCTTTTCTTTTCTGACGTAGGGACTTTTCACAATGGGAATGTGCAGAACTTCCTTCTCAAGGTGTTAAGTGTTTTAAGAACTCTCCAATAACTAAGTACCTTTACAAGTAACACTTCACAACATCAAAACAATGCATGTAACCAAACTGGTGGTGGGAGCTGAAAACTTAATTTATAGTTCTAGAGAATTAATTTGGCTTATCTAATTTATCATTACTTCAAAGATCTGTTGTATGGCTTTCTAGCCTTTCCACCGGAGACTATGCACAGACATTTTAACTTGAAACATTGAAAAACTGTAAATATTTCATTACCTGTTTACACAGTAATTTCTAAGGGAAGTTATTTTGACATTATTTGCCATATTGCGATTGGGTACTATGATATTAACTTTAAAGCTCTTTCTATTGTAGCTGATGTTTTGCTTTCCTATTTTCAAAATCATGACTACATTTTTCTTCCATAGAAAAATGTCAGGAAAGGCAGGGACAAAATTTTAGCTTCTAGATGCAGAAATTATTATTAAAATTAAGCTATAATGTTCTGTTACTGAGGAATTGAAAACATTTCATTTATCAGCACAGATTTTATAACATTGCTCAATCTGAGCTCTCTGTCTCCCTTCTACGCCTCCTCCACACAACTAAATAATAAAAGTTACTGTTAGGAAGTTTAAATCCTTTATGGTAATGCTACACAAATAAATATTCTCATTTAATGGTTTTAAGAATTTTATTTTCATAGGAAAACATTACATTATACTTACAAGCACCATCTTCATCATAGTTACTAAGATCGGCATGGACTGTTCTGCTGAATTCTAATACATTGTACCACTGATCTTTGTTCATAACACGATATTTTGATTGCTGTAGAAAATTATATAAATATTGGGATTACAAGACAAGCATTACTTCCTAGGGCTTGACTTTAATAAATTTAATTATAACATTTTTATGATTTGGTCTTTCCTAAAACTTATTCCTCTCTTAATTAAATTGTGTTTCTTAAAAGAATCCTCAGGGGCATTTATATGTTAATGTCGTCCAATTTATTTTCTCCTTTGGTTCTCATTCATTTTTGAGGAATAACAGGAGTTTCAAGGGTGCTAATAGTAAGGTTAAATAAAACAATGAATTTTTACCTATGTATGTATTTGTGTAATCAACAAAGAGATCAAGACATACAACATTTCCTACATCCAGTAAGTACCCTCAATCTGCTTCCTAGTAAATCACTTCTTTGCATGAGATTTACATTTAGTCACATTTTGAAATTGGCATCTTTGGAAGCAGTGGAAAGAGTATAGGCTTGGGTTCAAATCCCACTTCTGCCACTTAATTAAGCAACTTTGGGAAAGTTACTTAATAACAGAACCCATTTTCTCATTTGCTGAAGTGGGGATAACAAGTAATTCAAAATGGTGTTATAAAGATTTTAAAAGATAATGTATGTCAAACAGTCTCCCCATAATAAATGTTTGAAAATATTTAGTTCTCTCAGCTCCCTTTAGAGGTGAATATTTTTACACTGTTATGCCCAAAGCTGCTAATAGGAGGAAGACTGAAAACATCCATCAAAAACATCTATGCTTAAAGATTTAAATGCGCAGAAAACCTATTCACATAGGACTTTTTCATACCAGCCTCTTATCACAAGCTTTAAACAAAACTACTCTGGGGAACTTGCTATGATAAACAACCAGCTTTATGAGAAATTATTTTCAAATCAAAAAGCAAAAGCATCTGTATTCAAGAAATGGTGAGAATTATACCAAAAAAACTAAAATTGAAAAGGCATGAAAACAAATAGAAAATCAAAGAAAGTAATGGAAAAAAGAACAGTATCTTCTTAAAACCACTGCCTGAGGTAGGTGCTATGATAAACCTTCTAAAAGAATACTTTCCTTCATAAATTTAGCATACATTTTTTAGTAACCAGTACATTTAAGTACACTATTATAGTCATTCTCATATTTGTGGATATAAAATATTACAAGTTTTATTCTAATTCTTTAGATTGAGTCTTAGTGAAAATGAAAGCTTTATTTCTCCAGTTGGTTCTCTTACGTGGATTTCAGCCTTAGATCCTGTAAGAGAAGGAAACCTGACTCAGAAACTTGAGATTTGTGCACTAGCATCAATTCTCTCCTGCCAAAAGACCAAGAAACTAATTTTGCATGAAGAATGTCTGTGCTAAAATATATTTCTTGAAGGTTTCTTTTTTTATGGGGGAGATGCAAGGGATGAAATCAAAATATCATATAGACAATATATTAATGAATGTAAAATGTCTAAAAATGACAGCAGATATGTACACATATTAATAGAAATTTTCTACTACTTAAGGAGATATTTTAAAAAGCATCGTATTAAAAATCGATTTGTTTTTCCTCAATAAAGGTATATTTCTAATCAGATTAAGTTTTAAAATAAAATTTTCAAAGTGAAAAAACACACATACCTCCAAGTACTGGTAAAATACTGAAAACAGTGGCCATGTCCTCCCAAGCAGAAGAGCTAACATAGATTTAGCAGTATCAATATCAAGGCTTCTCTGATCTTTATCCTAAAACATAAGTAAAAAATTTTTCCTAAGTGTGGTCTCAAGATTAAAAACATACTAAAATCACAAAACATGGAAATTGCACCTACCCTTGCAAAATCAAAGGCATATCTGTAGATATTCTTAAACGAAGAAATATCATTCAACTGTGAGCGCAAAAAGTCAAATTTGTTCTGTAACTTTTCTGTGCAGTCACACCTTAAATTAAAAAAAAATCAAACATTATATAATCAAGAAAACTAAATAAAAGTATCTTTAGGGGGTTAGAAGGAATACATTAAGAAACAAGTGAGCTCATTTACAAAGTTAACTTAGGTTTAAAATTCTGATACAGAACTTGAGAGTAACAAACTAACTTGTCTTGTATCTACTAATGCAATAAAAAAGGAAAAAGAAAAAGGAAACCAGGCAATCAATGAAAGTTCACTCTGATGAATTTTCTTTAAAAAACAAAACAACTCAATCAAAAAAATCCAATAAAATCACAAATATCTCTTAAAAAGAGATGCATTAAATGTGCTTTTTAGCATACACGAAGTTAAAAAGATGGCAGAGTAAATGAAATTAATCAGGTCTCTGTCATGTATTTCATTGGAAAGTTCTTAGGCACTAGAGGTTGATGAGAGAGTTAGCCATGAGTGGTTTTAAAAGTGTAGGATGTAACACAGAGGAAATTAATGCATATTAGTGGTTCAGTCATAAATTCAGATTCCTATATTTTTAGTGAACAAAAAAATTAAGGTAAATCAATGGCAGGACCTAACTGCAAATATGGTACATATGCAAAAGAACACAAACAACTTATACATTATTTCTAAAGATAAGACATTAAATATAAGAAGATAAATAGATGAATGCTCAAAAGTCTTCACAGGCTTTTTGACTCTCACTGGGTTGATATATTCTACTATTTAGCAAGAAGCAAGGCAGACGAAGCTTTTCACAACTGATATAAATCTCCAGTCTCATCTCCTGCCAGGTCCCAGTATCCCTGCTGTGCTCTAGTTATATTTCACTTACCATTCCCAAACGCCACTGTTATGCTTTAGCACGTATTATCTCCTCTACTTGAAATGCTGTTCCCTCCAACAGTTTGACAAAATATTACTCATCAAAATCTAACTCACTTTTTGCTATCTCTGAGAGACCACTCCCTTCAATCAAATTAGTTGTGCCATCTACTGTGACCCACAACAACTGTGCTCAAAACTGAATGTTAGTACTCATCATGTACTATAGACACCCAGCATTCTCAGACTTAACTAAGACTTTTACTGTTCTAAATCAACAATGTGACTTGTATAAATTACAATTTTATTAAGGTGTAAATATTTTCGATAAATTTCTAATGTTGCTTACATCTTGCATTCTTAGAGTAAGTCAAATTTGGCCATGTTATCTGTTGTATATATTGCTAGATTTTTTTGCAATGTTCATAAATGAGACTGGCTTATAAATTTCATTCTTTCGCATTCTTTTTGCTAGTTTTGATAACAAGCTTATAGCATAAGCCTCACAAAAATGAAATGAGAATTATTACCCTTTTTTCTGTTTTCTGAAAAGTTTACTGCACAGTGGAATGAGCATTTGTCCAAACTCAGCTGAAAAACCACCTGGGCCTTTTTACTGAAAGAAGGAAAGACTTTTAACTACTAAATCAGCATTTTCACAGGTTATAGAACCATTCAGATTTTCTATTTCTTTTTGAATCAGTTTTGCTCATTTATATACTTTTCTGATACTTTATTTCACATATAACTTCATTTAAATATGTCGATTAAAATTATTTATATTTTCTAATACGTATCATTACATATTTTTGCCTTTTGTTTTTCTTGACCATCTTGTCAGAATTTCTTAATTATCTCAATTGTAGGTAGCTTTGCTGTCTATTTTACTTATGTCTGGATATCTTTATATCTCCTTTCTTCTTCTAGTTTGGGTTGATTCTTTTTCTAACTTCTTAAATTAGATATTAGTTCATTCAGTTTCAGGCTGGTTTTCTCTTTTAATATAACATTTATGACTATAGATATCCCTCTAAGTACAATTTTAGCTTCAGCCACAGTTTTGATAGCCATCCCGGGTGGTCCAGTGGTTAAGATGGTGCTCTCATTGCTGCGGCCTGGGTTTATTTCCTGCTCAGGGAACCATACCATCCATCTGTCAGTTGTCATACTATGGCAGCTGCATGTTGCTGTGATGCTGAAAGCTATGCCACCAATATTTCAAATACCAGCAGGGTCACCCATGGTGGACAGGTATCAGCAGAGCTTCCAGACTGGACAGACTAGAAAGGATGACAGGACATCCACGTCCGAAGAAATTGGCCATGAATAGCAACTGGCTATGAATAGCAGCGGAGTATTGGCTGATACAAGCACTGGAAGTGAGAGGATGGTATGGAAAGACCAGGGAGAGTTCTGCTCTGCTGTACACAGGGTCACCAGGAGTCGAAATCAACGCCACCAGAACTAATAATAAACAGAAGGAGTTTTGCTAGGTATTATTGCTTACAGGTATTCACTTGTAAATGACACCTTGACAAGAGTGGTAGGATAAAAGCCTTACTAGAATAGGTTTAAGAGAGAATGAGAGAGGAACTAGATAAAATAAGTATAGACAAATGCTTTCAAAGAATTTGGTTCTTAAAGGAAGCAGAGAAAAGGGACACTAACTATAGTTGGACTGGGAGGGCAGAGGTTTGCTTTTTTTTTAATAGATAAAAGAAATAACTTCCGCTTCCAGGAAGCAGAAGTAAATGTACTTTTCCCTCTCTCTCCTGCTAATTCAACCAAAAGCCCTGGACATTACACATAAAACAACATAAGAAGAGTGAAAGAATTCTGAAAGACCCTGAGAGACAATACAATCGTGAGATCCCTGGGTTGTCTTTTTGCCTCATCTATCCTAGACTTGGAGCTGAAGGAGTCAGCAAACAGAAATGCCAATGGGGCAGATAAAAAAATCCCAACAAAAGCCTGCTCTGCCTCTAGCCGAAAGCAAGTAGCCTAGCAGGACAGAAAACTTTCAGAAAAAGAACACTCTTCTCCAGTCAAACACCACAGAAAAAACTGTGACTCAACCCCATCAATGCCAGCAAAGAGTGAATGGCGACCTGAATGGTCCACCCTCATCAGTATATAAGGAGGCCTCCCTCTCAACTCCTGCAGAGTTAGTGGAAACTACATGGGGAACACGAACTTCCACTCCCACCAGGTAGTAACAAGCCCCCTCCTCTGCCCTTGGGTAGTGTCAGAGGAGGCCGTGTGGAGAGTCAGGGCTTTCACCATCACCGCAGCAACAAGACCACCACCCCAGACGGGTCAGTGGAGATTTTGTGGGAAACAAGAAGGTATCAGTGGAGCCCTAGTGAGGGCCTGGAACTCTCACATGTGCCAAGAGTAATGAAGACTTCCCTCCTCGGATGTCAATGGATGCTGAGTGGGTAATTTCAATTTCAACTTGTACCTGGAAATAATGAGGCAGTGACCCCCAATTCTCCTGCCAAGGTTGTGTTAGAGGAAGTTAGCTAAAACAGAAGATTTAAATAAGATCCAGAGTTTCATGACATACCCTCAAAATTTCCAGCTTTCAAAAAAAATCACTTGTCACACCAAGAACCAAAATCTCAAATGGATGCCAAAAGACAACCAAGAGATGCAAACACCAAAATGATGGAGATGTTTAGAATTATTTGACAGATTCTAAAGCAGCTATTATAAAAATGCTTCAAGAAGCAATTATGAACAAAATAAAACAAATGAGAAGCTAGAAAGTCTCAGCAAAAACAAAGTCTAAGGAAAAAATTTAACAATATAACAAGAATCAAATGAAAAGTTTTGAATTGTAAAATATAGGTCAGACTTAAACCTTAATGTATCAGCAATTACATTAAATGTAAGTAGTCTAAATATACCAATTAGAAGACAGAGATTGACAGAGTGGATCAAAAAAAAATGATCCAACTCTATGCTACATAGAAGGAACTGACTTCAAATATAACAATATAGGCAGACTGAAAGTAAAAGAATAGAAAATGAGATATCATGGAAACATTATTCAAAAGAAAGGAGGAATGGCTCTATTAAAATCAGCTAATGTAGAAATCAGAGCAAAGAAAATAATCAGAACAGAGAGAAACACTACATAATGATAAAAAGGTCAATCCATCACAAAGACGTAACACTCCTAAATGTGTATTAAACAACAGAGCTACAAAATATGTGAAGCAAAACCTTACAGAACTGAAAGGAGAAATAAACGAATCCACAATTATAGTTAGAGAGTTCAACCCTCTTCTCTTAGCAATTGATAGAACTAGACAGAACTTTAGTAAACATATCAAAGAATTCAATGCCATCAATCAATAGGATCTGACATTAATAGAACACTCTACTCAATGACAATAAAATACTCTTTTCAAGTGCCCACAGACCATAAACCAAGGTAGACCATACCTGGAGCCATAAAAATAAACTTTGACAGATAAAAAGAATTAAAATCACAGAGAATATGATCTCTGACCACAATGATCTCCAAACAATTAGAAACTAAACAGCAAACTCCTAAATAATCCATAAATGAAGTCTCAATGAAAACCAAAAAATATATTGAACTGAATGAAAATGAAAACACAACATATTAACTTTTGTGAGACACAAAGCAGTGCTGAGAGGGAAATGTATAGCACTACATGCAAACATCAGAAAAGAGAAAAAGTCTCCATAGATAATCTAAGCTCCTACCTTTAGAATCTAGAAAAAGAAGAGCAAAATAAACCTAAAGCAAGCAGGAGAAAGTAAATAATTAACAACAGAAATCAATGAAATTGAAAACAGAAAAATGAGAAAAATCAACGAAAAAAGAGCTGATTCTTTGGAAAAGATCAATAACATTGACAAGTCTCTAGCAAGAATGACAAAGAAAAAAGAGATAAAAATTACCAATGTCAGGAATGAAACAAAGGATATCATTACAGACCTGTAGATATCAAAAGAATATCAAAAGGATATAAATTTGACAACTTAGATGAAACAGACCAATTTCTTGAAAAACAAAACTACCACAACACACATTATATAAAATAATTTGAGTAGCCCTATAACTACTAAAGAAATTGAATTCAAAATTTAAAAAATTCTAAAAAAGAAATCTGCAGGCTCAGATGGTTTCACTGGACAATTCTACCAGTCTTTGAAGACGAATTATACACAATCTCTTTCAAAAAATAAAATACAAAGAAAAACTTCCCAATTCATATTCTAAAGTCAGTATTTCCTTGACATCAAACCAAAGATACCATTAAAAAAAAAACAAAAACGAATCATCACAAGAAAAAAATTTTGCAACTGCGTTTGGTGATGGATGTTAAAGAACATTCTGCAACATAGAGGAATATTAAATCATTATGTTGTACTCCTAAAACTAATATAAATGTTATATGTCAATTATATCACAATAAATAAAAGAAAATTACAGACCAATATCCTTCATGAATCTTTAACAAAATATTAGCAAATAGAATTCCGCAGTATATAAAAATAATTATACACCATAAGAAGGTCGGATTTATTCCAGGTATGCAAGACTAATTCAATATACAAAAAACAATCAACGTAATCAGAATATTAAGCTAAACAAAAACTGCAGGATCATATGATTTAATGCAGAAAAGGCATTTAAAATATTTAACATCCATTCATGTTAATACTCACAGAAAAATAGGGATAGAGGAGACCTCCCTTGACTTGACATCTACAAACAACCTATAGCTAATGTACTTAATGGTGAAAGAGTGAATGTTTTCCCTCTAAGATCAGGAGCCAGGAAAGGATGTCCACTCTCACCATGCTTATCCAACACAGTGGGAGAAGTTCTAGCATTGTCAAGGTAAGGAAATAAAAGATATACAGACTAAATAAGAAAGAAAACTGTCCCTACTATCCTATTTCATGTCATAATCATATGACATGATTATGCAGAAAACCCAAGGAATACAGAAAAAGCCTTAGAATAACTGAGTTCAGCAAGGTCACAGGATACAAAACAAACATACAAAAATCAACTGCATTTCTATATATTGGTAATAAATACGTGGATGCTGAAATTCAAAACAATACTGTGACTCAAAATAAAAATATTTAGGTGTATTTCTAACAAAATGTACTTTTATGCTGAAAACTACACAGGACTGACGAAAGAAATAAAAATTTTTTTAGATATAGAGAAAATTATTCTAAAATTTTTAGAAAAGCAAAGGAACTGCAATAGTTAAATCAATTTTGAAAAAAGATGAATCAATCTACCTGATTTCAAGATTTAGTATACAGGTACAGTAATCTAAATTGTATGGTATTGGCAGAAGGTTAAGACACAGATCAACAGAATAAAATAGAGAACCCACAAACAGACCCACACAAATATGTCCAACTGATTTTTGACAAAGTTGCAAAAACAATTCAATGGAGGAAAGAGCTTTTCAACAAATGTTACTGGAGTCTTGCATCTTTTAAAGAAATTAACTCAGAATGCATCACTGATTTAAACGTAAAATGTAAAAATAAAAGCCTTCCAGAAAAAAAACTTTAGAGAAAACCCTCACGATCTAAGGCAAGGCAAAGAATTCTTAGACTTGACATCAAAAGCACAATCAATGAAAGGAAAAACTGATAAAGTGGACTTCATCAAAATTAAAAACTTTTGCTCTGTAAAAGTCCTTCTAAGAGGATGAACACACAAGCTACAGACTGGGAGAAAATATCTACAAACCACATATTCAACGAAGAACTCATATCTAGAATATGGGGAAAACTCTCAAAACTCAACAGTAAAGTTAAAAAAATGACAGTGTAGTTTTTGTTTGTAGTTTTGTTTGTAGTGTTTATTTGTGGGTTTTCTGTGTGAAGGAGACTGGCCCTGAGCTCACATCTGTTGCCAATCTTCCTCTTCTTTTTCTTTTTTCCCTACCAAAGCCCCAGCACATAGTTGTATATCCTCGTTGTAGGTCACTGTAGTTCTTCCATGTGGGATGCTGCATCAGCACGGATTGATGAGTGGTGTGTAGATCTGTGCTCAGGATCTGAACCAGCGAACCCCAAGCCGCTGACGCAGACCATGGAAACTTAACCACACAGCCACTGGGCTGGCCCCAACAGTAAAAATTTATCCACAATTTCTCTTAGCCTTTCTTTCCTATTTTCCTCAGCTATTGTAGGTCACTTTGATTCCTACTTTATTTACATCTTCTTTGTAGCTCATCCATTGAGGGTTTTTTTTTGAGGAAGATTAGCCCTGAGCTAACTACTGCCAGTCCTCCTCTTTTTGCTGAGGAAGCCTGGCCCTGAGCTAACATCCATGCCCATCTTTGTCTACTTTATATGTGGGATGCCTACCACAGCATGGTGTGCCACGGGCTGCCATGTCCAGACCCTGGATCCAAACCGACGAACCCCGGGTAAGGGTAAGGGCTGCGCCAGCGGGCTGGCCCCCATCCATTGAGTTTTAAATCTTTTCTATTCTTCACTTTTAAAAGTTTAATTACTTGAAATCTGATTATCTGAGACCATTCCTCTTCTTTCTTTCAACATATTAAATGCAGTTATTTTATACTGAGATTGTGATAATTCAAAATACTAGTCTTAAAGAGTCTGATTCTGAAGTTTAAGATCAGTTTCCCAATATTTTTAGTGATTTTCGATTGCTAACTAATGATCTCTGACCCTTGTTCTGCAGAAATTGAGGCTTCCTTTCAAAATTTATTCCTGTCAGAAGAACTGCTTCCACTACACACAAAGGCATACCATAGCCTGGGACAATTCTAGAATATATTTTTGGCTTGTGTCATGCCATGAATTCCAGCCCTAAATCTGCATTACAAAAAGCTTTTGACTAGGAATTCTCTTGGGTGGAAGCCCTTTACTTCCAACTGTATGCAGAACCAAGCCCAAGCAATCAAGTTTCCGTCTGTTGGGTAGGTTTGGCACTAATGACTTAATGTGGGAGTTTTGATCTGATTCTCACCCTACTCAGGCCTCGCAATTTGTCTCCTACTCACAATATGCAGGACAAGTTAACAGACAGACTAAGTGACTAGGAATAGGTAGCTATCTTCAGGGTAAATGTCAGCTCCAGAGATCCCTATGGAATCACCATCCTTCAACATTTCTGGCCTCTTATTATTTTCCTTAATTTATACTCAAGTCCAGATGGGCTTTTTTTTTTTTTTTTTTTGAGGAAGATTAGCCCTGAGCTAACATCTGCTGCCAATCCTCCTCTTTTTGCTGAGGAAGCCTGGCCTTGAGCTAACATCCGTGCCCATCTTCCTCCACTTTATATGTGGGATGCCTACCACAGCACGGCTTGCCAAGCAGTGCCATGTCTGCACCCGGGATCTGAACCAGCAAACCCCAGGCCGCCAAAGCAGAACGTGCAAACTTAACCGCTGCACCATCGGGCTGGCCCCAAGATGGGCTTTTTAAAAGATATTTTTATATTCTACCCAACATTTAAGTGTTTCACATAAGAAATGGTTTCTTCACTCATTTAGTCTGCCATACTGCCAGAAATGGAAATCAAAATTTGGATAAGTTAACTGTATGATTTGCCTGGGGCCTAGTTCCTTACATACAAATGAGTGTATAATGTTTCATGCAGAAACATACAAAAAATTATTCTTACTATTTATTAGAAATTTATTACTTACTATTTCAATCAGTGGCTTCTATGAGTAGAAAAACTTTTCATTAT